ACTTGCAGTTTGCAATTGACTGTGAAGCCAAAGCCAATGGTTTTACGACGGCTATTCTTGAACCATAGAATGAGAAAACCAGGAAGGACTACCAAATGTGATGGAATAATTGGTGCCAGAATGAGCTAATCGAAATGGGTGAACTCACAGGCAGATTTCATTTGCAATGGTAAGAAAGTTCTTCTGTCTCTGAAAATTGGCTTTGGCCCTAGTTTCCATGAAACGTGCTTCAGGACAAAACTCTTGGAAACTATAAATGTTTTTAATTCTCAAAGGAGGGCAGATAAAGCACAATCAGAGTAACTTCATCATTGGCTTGGCGAATGGTCCCTATGTAAAATAGTCATTTTCAGCAATTTAAAAAATCCTGGCTGCCTCCTGGTGTCCCGCACATTTCTCTGCTCCCTTTGGGTAGCAAAGGTCTAATGTACTCTTGCTAGTGTTACCAGTTTGATAATGATTTCCCAAGGTCACATGGTGTTTTCTGTCACTATACTGGGTGGCAATCAAAGAAGGGGGTACAAAGATCACACAATGTTGTGAACTGAATTGTGCCCTCCACAGATTTATATGTTGAAGCCCCAACCCCCACTGTGACTATATTTGGAGACAGGGTCTTTAGGAAGGTAATTAAGATGAGATCACAATGGTGGGACCCTAATTCCACAGGATTGGTGTTCTTGTAAAAAAAGAAAAGACAGGCAAAGCTTTCTGTCTTTGTTTGCACGCACTGAGGAAAGTCCTGAGGACCCAGCAAGAGGGCAGCTATCTACAAGCTAGGAAGGGAGCCCTTACTAGAAATCTAATTTGTTGGCACCATGATCTTGGACTTTCAACCTCCAGAACAGCAAGAAAATAAATGTCTATTATTTAAGCCACCCAGTCTGTGGTATTTTGTTATTGCAGACAAACTGACAAATATACACAGGCTAGGATGTAACTATTGCAGCCCAAGCAGTGTACAGTGCTTGGCATATACAACTGTGGACACTGCAAACTCTCACACCCTTTATCTCAACATAGCGTTCATAACACCCTTATGAGCCAGCACTGTGATGTAGTAGAATGAGCCGGATAAAACACATTACTTCCTAACTGCGGGGTCTTACACAAAGTCTCAGAGCCTCAGTTTCCTCCTGTAATAAATGTTTGTCAAGCTGGTTAACTCTGCACCAAATTTATCTAGACTAAGTACTGTTAAGCATTTGACATCCACCATGAAGAAACTCATTGCATGGTTTTTTGCATGTGTTTGATAATTTCTGTATGTTCAAATAGTTTGTATCACATAGTAACCCTTTAGTTAAAGAGTAAAATACTATTTTAAAAGATCTGTTGCTATCATGGTGACAGTTTCTTTGCCTTCACACCTGAAAATTTCACTTCCTTAACATTTGGGTGGTCTGATCATCAAGCCACTTCATGATGACATCTCCAAGTCTGTCACTGGGCATGGGTCTAAAATGGACTTTTGGAAGTGGGGGCTTCCTGAAGTCTCTTTGGGTCATCCTAACTCTGCTTTTGTCAATAGTTCCAGAATATAAATGCAGAGTTCACGGGTCAGATTCATTAATATTAAAAATGGAACTCACCAAAATAATAGTAAATAAGAATTAATGAGACATCAACCTGCTAATAGTAATAATAATGAGAATAACAAGAGTTCAACTAGATGGAGACTAACTATGGGAAGCCAGAGATTAAGACATTAAATGCATTATCTCGGTAATCCATTGGGTTAGATACCGCTATACCCACTTTACAGGTGAGGAAACTAAGGTACAGGAAGGCTAAATAATTTACCCAAGGACCTACCCAGGAAGTGGCAACAGTAGGTCTGAAGTGATCCATGGGACTTGATGGTTCTGTGATGCTGTCTCCCCTGGTGGGTCCCTAATGCCTGCCCTCTGTAGCAAGTGGCACCACCGAAGAGACCTGATGTCGGGGTGGTGTCCCCAGATTTCTAAGTGAGACAAGATGAGTATTATTTCCATTAGCAGAAATCCTGAAACCCTTCTGTTGTGTAAAACCAATCTGCATGTTCTTGATTTTAAAATATGGAAAACACCCTTCCAAATTGTTTGAATTGACACGAGTCTTCATGAAGCCAAGTCTGCATAACCAGATCCCTGGAAAGACAGAAGGCTGTCTCCTCAAGTCTAAGTGCTGCGTCATCACTGATCCACAAAGCAAATGGGGCTATGACCTGTTCTCCAAATGGCAAACCATGCAAAATGTCAAGATGCTGGCAAAGGAGTAAACCATGCAGAGAAACTCTCCCTGCTTCTCTCAGGAAAGTGCTGCCTGTTCTCAGGAGCCCTGAAATCCATCGCTCCCCTGTGGGGGACAGCAGACTCCAGTAATGAAAAAGCTGAAGATCCCTGTTTCTAATGAGCACTCTGGATACTTTCAGAAAGTGGCAGTGCACATCCAAATGTCTGCAAAGTTTGCTGTTAACAAGGAAAGAAGGGGCAGTGACCCAAGGGGTTGTTGCGTAGGTAGAGAAAGTGCTAAGCATTCATTTATGGACTGAGGGGACTGGCAGAGAGGAGGCAGCAGAAATTATAAGGAGAGGAGAGGAAATGGACAGAAAAGGCTCCAGGGACATGGGAAGCATTTGCTTCAGGGCTTAAGAGAAAGAATTTGCATGGGGAGAAGATGGTCTGCATTAATTTGTTTATTAGGACAAAGATGCATAGAAATGCAATTTTTTAGATAGAGAGGGAGGTATTTGTGCCTCTTTTTCTCAGAAAAGGAGTGAGAGGGTTGAGTTTTGGATGAAGAAGGCTTGGGGAGGGTGGGAAATGTTTAGGACTAAAAGTCAACTATGAAGGGCTAAAAGGATTACCAAGTAGAAGTGACAGCACCATGATGCTAAAACAACATAATCTGAGGTAGATTGCTTCCAGAGTAGAGGACACAGGGTTTAGTCCATTGTCACCGAGTTGGGTCAGGCCCTCAGACAATCATCTTTTGACCTGACTCTTAAACTGAAACCTACTCTTCTGTGATTTTTTTGCCTTTTGCTTGCAAGACAATCCAAGGTCCCCAGCATGGCACACAGGCCTTTCCCTATCTGATCCCCACTTAAGTCTCCAGCATCACTTGTTTGCCTGCTGCCTTATTGAACTAACTGCAGTCACCCCAGAGCCCCAGGTCCTTTCAATGCCTTGGATCTCAGGATTTCTCTGAAATGGTTTCCCTTTAATGTCTGTAGAGAAATATTCATTTTTTAAAAGGTCGCCTCCTCCAAGAAGCCTTCCAGGATCACCCTGGGTAAAACTGATAACTCAGTCTCTCTTTTTGCTTACCTATCTATGCCCTGTATATACTCCTCACATCACGTGGCGCTTCCTATTTCATCAATTCTAAGAGGCACATTTTTCACATTTCAAAAATGTCTGAAATAAGCTGGGCATGGTGGTGCGTGCCTATAGTACAAGCTCCTTGGGAGGCCGAGGCAGGAGCATCACTTAAGCCCAGTTGTTCAAATCTATAGCATACTATAATAACGCCTGTAAATAGATACTGCAGTCCTGGGCAACATAGCAAGATTCTGTCTCTATTTTAAAAAAAAAGAAATCCCTGAAATTAGGATGTAATTTATAATCAGTGGTGTGTCATAGTTTAATTGCGGGGATTTTTAACAATGTCTTGGTGGTACCAAAAAAACAAAAGATGCATCTTACATCGGAGAGCATTTGGTGAAATTCACCTTCATTTTGTAACTTTCAAGGTGAGTATAGCTGTGCCGTTCATCTTGCGCCCCACCCCGGCCCATTTGGCAGTATCTAAAGACATTTTTGGTCGTTATCAACTTGGGGCAGGGGGTATGCTGCTGGCTGGCATCCAGTGGGATGAGGCTGGGGGTGCTGCTATATCCTATAATACACAAGACAACCTCAAACAGCAAAGACTTCGCCAGGCCAAAATGTCAACAGTGCAGAGGCTGAGAAACCCTGGTGTGGAAAAACAATACCTATATGTGGGTGTACAACATGCTTTCTCGTGTTTGATTTGAAATAACTCTTTTACAACATATAGGCCAACTTCATATACAGCAACTTTTCCAAACTTTGGCTTGTCCAGCAAGAACAGCAACTCTTGAGAGGTGTTGTAGGCATGCCTCATCACACCTTACCGACCCCTTTCTGCTAGACTCCCAAGAGGAACACAGGCAGCAACGGCTCCCGGTCCAGAGTGGAAAGCCAGAAGGTCTCAGGGAGATGTGTGACCTTAAACCAATTAGGTCAGGTCAAGGCCAGAACTGAAACCCAGACCCCCAGATTTCCACGACCCCCATGAGCCTGGGAGGCAGCTGCTCTGTTCCCTGGCTACACGGAACACCCTTTGGTACCTTAGGAGGAAACGTGCCCTGCCATTTGAGCTGGATGACTTAGCAAGAGTTTTGTGTTAGTATTCACGCTTCAACACCCGCGGCCCTCCCGCCTCTCACCCCACTTTATGAGAATTTAGGTTGACTCTACAAGGCCCCCTGAGCTCTGTGGGAAATTGGGTTTAAGCAAGAATAATTGTGATTCATGAACGTGAAGGAACTTTAAGTACATGTAGATGATTTCATCATACAACAGGCAGAAGGGACTTAGCGAGTGTGCTTAAGGCTCAGGGGGAAGGGCTGCGTTTGGACGAGGGCGGGGGGCGCTTCCTCCGTCCCTGGGAGCTGCAGGTGTGGAAAGGGTCTTCGGCTAGGGCAGGAAGCCGATTGATGTGAGAGAGGAAGGAGTTCCGAGCAAGGTTTTGGCCAGGCCGGCCTGCGTCTGGGCTCCGCAGCCAGGCGGGCCCCAGGTGCGTCTGGAACTTCCTGCCCCAAGGCCGCGTCCCCAGAGTGTCACCTGTCCCCGCCCTCTCCCCCTGTGGCTGGGTCACTGTGGGCAGCCGCGCCCGGGAGCCCGCAGCCCCACCTACCCACCCCGGCCCCACGGCCCCGCCCTGGCAGGGGGACCCCGCGCGCCCGGGCGGATGACGGGGACAGAACTCACCTTCAGGTGGACAGGAAAGGACCCCTCCCGCTGGAGGGGCCCCAGAAGCGTCCGCTCCACGCTCACCAGCTCCGAGGTCGAGTCCACCACGCGGGCC